AAAGATATCCAGTAGAGCGTTGTTTATCCGAATCAATTGGGAACTGAGGTTGTTCGGATAACTTATTTTTTGGATGACCGATTATGTACGAAAAAATATATTAACCTATCCCATGTTGAAATTTTTCTCTGTTGTGTGTTGCTTCGCGTTAAATTTTCGTTGATGTTAAGCCTAACGTAAACTTTTTAAAATAATAATCGTGGCTATTGTATCATTAAAAATTATTTCTTTATTTTTTACAAACAAAATAAATATATTGAAAAATATAAAAACAATAAAAAATTATACTTTAGAAGTTAATCTAGTATCAAAAATGTTTGATTCAGCANAACTGATCCTTTATTTCTGCACCTGTTAAAAAGTTACACTTAGAAGACTGTTTCCTTATGTTTATAGAATTTATTCTAATTTTCAAATATTTCAGAGCCAATGGGATTAGAGTTCAGATATTTCTTATAATTTTACAAATATAACAAGTATTTTCATAGATACATTACGAGGATATACGGTTGTTTAACACATGTTATACCTTCTGAAAATGACTTAAACGTGTAAATATATATATATATATATATATATATATACCCTATATCAGGTTTTGGTCTCCAAATGATGATGGGTTATATATATATATATATGACCCATCATCATTTGGAGACCAAAACCTGATACAGGGTTTTTTTTAAAACATATGAATAATAACTTATATGGATAACTACTTGAGGCAGAGCAAACAAGTAACATGGAAATGCATTATTTGGATCTTATCATCAGATTTGTTAATAATCACATTGAAATCACAGTATACAGAGTGTCCCAAATTAAAGGCTTATTATAACTCTATATATAGAGTTATAATAAGCCTTTATAACTCTTATTATATGACAGAACTTCTATCACCATTATACAGTTCCTGTGCCAATTACGATTCATACGGCCCATTCAATGAATGCATATTAGACTTATCCTCATAGAGGTATTTGTATTTTTTTTTTTTTTTTTTTTTTTTTTTAGAGCTTTGTGAACTCTCTCTCTCTCTGGCTGTTAGAGCGGCCCTTTTGTATAGTGAACTTATTTAACCGCATTTAACCTATGTATCCTAGCTTAGATATATCTAATAAATGCTTGTTTAGTTTGTTAAACCTGTCTCCTGTCTCTAAAGGATACCCGCCGACATACCAACGCACTCCCCACTCACTTTTTGCCCTCCTAAGCCATCTGACAATCTGAGAAGGGTTTTGCCAGCCTGTGCAGTGTAAGTGGTCAGAAGGGATTAACTCCTGTGGCCCTCTGCTAATCTCACACTCAGGAACATGATTTTCACAGAAAAGTGGTCAAGCAGTTAGCTTAAATAAGGAAAAAAACTATCACAAAAAGGCATTAAATACGTATAACTAATATTTTATTTGCTGCTAACGCTTTCAACGTATTATAAGGCATTGTCCTCAAGCAGATACAAATTCAAATAAACCTTTCGAACAAGCTTTTTCAAATTAAAAGCTAACAGAATTAACCCTTTAGAACAAAACTACATTTGGAGTAAACAAATATAAAGAATTTAAATTAAAGTGCACTTGATGACTATATGCATGCATCATAATACATAGATTAGGCACTGAGAGTGGAGATAAATGCAGTTAGCTAGTAAATTTCAATTCCAACATAATCAAATGGCAGTGAACAAGGGAGAGCAAACTGCATAACAATAAATTATGAACATCACATGAATGCAATATTCAAACAGATAGCAAGGCACAAGGGTTCCTGCATTGCATATATACAGAACTCAACCATCTTCACAATAGTTAGGAAAGGACCCCCTTAAACACCAAAAGAATCCCAGAGATATAAATGATATCCCTAAGGGATGATAGGATTGGGAGAGACCTAGTATACATAGTCTCCACCACAAGGTCCCTGAGACAGTGGATAAGGGAATACAAATATAATATTGATAATAGAAAACTTTCCATCACCCTGGCCACATATGTCTTGTAACTTTTCCTTGATATCATTATATATCAAGCAAGTTTGATAAGTATAGCCCTATATAACATTCAAATCTGGGCTTTGGAGCCCTAGAAATTTTTAAAGCTTGCAAAAGGGAGAACTCCATCAACTACAAAGAAGAAAGACAAGTATAATTATGACTGTTGCCATAAAAAGTCAACATAAAAAGTGGGATTGGTTATGTAATGATTTAATTTTAAATTCAGCAATATTCTTCTGTAAGTGTTTTTTTCATAGATTGTCTCTAACCTGAAGCAGGGCTTTGAAGGAGTCTGAAAATGTTTATTATTTTAATTCCATTGCTGGACATAAGTGAGTTTTTTCTGGTGTGTTCTGTATTATCATATGGTCCAGTTAGAGTTAGAGAATAGAAAGAACTTTTGGATAGGAGATAGTAATAGAATGAAAGGTAGTGTTCCTCATGCTTGACAGTACATCATTATCAGCATTGGCATCCTTCTAAGTTTACTGTATGTCTGAGAAATTTAAGTCCTAGCAATTCTGTGCAGTTTTTCTCAAAGGATTCCTCCACAGAAAACTAACAAAAGACCTAACAGTACATACATAGTAAGGTCCACAGATCCTTGTTCCCTTTTATCTATACAAGGACCATTCCTATAATTTTTTTGCATCCTCCGTTCCTTATATATAATGAGTTACTTTAAAATTCATTGTACTCTTAGGAAGCATGGATGTTTGCTACCAATTGCATCTTCCCTTACTTTAAGATTAGTAGTTATAGATAAGACATCCTGCAAATTATTAGAATATTTTGTTGTTTATAGTATTCCATTTTTCCACCCTAACCAAAGTTCTAATTGTCACTACATCAGAGCAGTTTTGAGACAAATAACAAAGCAACTATATGAACATCAAGAGTCTATCATCAATGCCTTGTCAGCACTGAACTTACCAAGTACATTTTAGAAGAAGGGAATGTTGGAATGATGTAACCCCATTTAAAAGCATATCTGATCCCAAACAGAATTTTGTTTGGGAAACCTTAGTCATAAAGTAGTTAAAACTTATAAACAAGCCACCATTATATCTTTTGGATTTCTGGTTAATCTTGTATGATTTTCTCAATTAATTTTATTTATGTATTTTATCTTAATTCTTATTGCCTTTTTAAAAAAAAATTCTAATTGATCATTTTGAATTAATTCCATTTAACACACAAGAGCTTTGTATGCTTTAATATGTCATGGATAGTTATTCAAAAGCTAATTTCCTGAAAATGACATTTTGTCAAAAACATTTAATCTTATTATTAAAGTGGATGATTTTAAGACTAAATGTTGTAATTAATTTTTTCTTTATAATAGTAAAATTTAATTTTATTTGCATTTGGAAAAAATATGCCAAAAATAAAAAGATGGTCATGATTCTATAAAAATTTTGGTGATAAAATAGCAGATGACTGCAATCATTTGAATTATTTGTGTTTCTTATTTTCTTCAGTAACTTTCCAAATTACTAGACCCGTTGACTAAAATCAAACTTTTTATACTATTTTCTTCTCTTTTTTCATAATATTGTTTAAGGAATTAGTATTTTTTCATGTTGTTATTAAATTTTTTTATAACACTATAAATGAAAAAAAAATTAGCTTTTTACTACAAAAGGGAATTGATATAGGTTATTATTAAGGTATGGAAGCATAGCCCATTTATACATTTTTTTTAATTTTTGTTCTTACAAGGAATATCCTCATGATATAGAAGCACTACTGGCTGTTAAAGGTGGTCATTCAAAATACTAATTTTTAAATTTTTAAGTTGTATTATATTCAAATTTTTATATGGAAAAACTTTTTATTTCATAAGACATAATAAACATTAGTATTTTAAATAAGCCTATTAACAATTGCATTTTTTTATTAAATTATTACATCAAAAACTGACAAATCATCAATTTTTTGCATGGGTCTAATAATTTGGCAAGGTACTGTATATTATTTCGTTTTGTTTTCTAATTTTTTTGTTTGGTACATAAGATACACTGAAGTGTTTTTTTTCCTAGTGAATAATCAGTAAGTTTTTTTATTTTTCTGAGAATGATTTTTGTGTTTATGTTTATATTTTAATAAATAAATATATATGCATTTTTATTAAACAAGATAAAACTTATTTTAAAATATTTTATTACAGTAATTTTTAAAATTTTATAGACAAAGAATATTGTTCTGGGGATTAAAAAAAAGTTCTCCATTTATGAGGATAAAAATGTGCTTAGAAACATTAAATTTCACTTAAAAATTTCAAAAATTTTCCAGAAGGTCCCAGATTTCCTTTACTTGAACTTGTACTCTGTACTCCCAGATCTCCAATAACCTAACAATTTACTAGAGCCACCCTTACTATAATCAGTCTTGCTACACACACAACTGCAATGGTCTGGGAAAATGGGAAATTATCTGATTTTCGTAAAGCTTCATAAAGTTAGCTACCTCACACACACAAAAAAAAAATATATATATATATATATGAAGATGTAAATATATTTATCTGTCTATTCATCTGTATTGTGTTACTTTGTTAACAAACTTTATATAATAGATAAAGTAATACTTTGGAATACATGTGCTTTGTTAAGTGTGATTTGATTTTGTAATAAGAAAAATTTTTATTTCTCATTTTATCCAAAATTAAATTAGCATCAGCATCAACATCATCTTACCTAATGTTGATGCTAATGCTAATTTCTTTCAACAAAACTGGTATCACTATTGTGTTACACAGAAATGACAACTAATTTAATAAAAGTACTATAGGTTTTAGGTTTATGTAGCAAGTTTATAATACTTAAGTGTTTAAAAATTTCTATATCTTTCTCATTTACAAAATATATTATTTTAAATTAAAATTACTATGAATAAATTTTAAATATTAATAGAATTCTTTATATTTAGTAATATATATTTTATATATACAAAATAGTTTTAGATCATAAAGCTACAGTTGTATAAAGTATTAAATATCTATTTATAGATTCTGGAGATGGAGATAAATATGGATATACATCATGGTATCCTATAATGGAATCCAGACAAAAATTCTCTGATACTAAGAAAAAGAAAAGATACTTTTGGCAATACAATATTCAATCTAAAGGTCCTAAAGGCCCAAAAATAGCCTTAGAACAATCAAGTATCCTAAATCCATATATTCTGAGTAAAGCCAGTGATCCTGTGTTTAATATGCAGTATCATCTAGATGGTGTAAAACACGCAGGGAAGGCTCGTAGAGGTGATGGAAATGATTTAACACCAAATCCACATAAATTGTATTCCATTGGTTTAGAATTGAAGAAACTTACTAAAGTTATAAACGATTTAGAACCAACAATTGATCAGCCTTTCAACACAAGACCTAAATCACGTCGAGAAAAGAATAAATTGGCATCTAGGTAAATACAAATATTATTTTGAGATTACCTTTATTTTAGTTTGCTATTATAAAGTCTATCTAATCAATAATAATTTTTAAATTCTGCTTGAGATATTTCATTTTCTTTATGAAACTCCAAATAAAGTATATTAAATTGAAAAAGTCTCTCTTTAGTGAATGTTTTATGTTAAATATAGTGGAATCTGCTTATTATTAAAATATCCAGGATGTTGTTATCAGTCATTATTCCAAAACATATAACTTAAAATAAACTTATAAGAAGCTTTGCTTATTGTAATCTGAATTTGGTTATAGTTATCATTATTTTCAGGTAAACAGACATTTTTAAGTTATATTTTTTCATTATTAGCCTTGGTATATGGTTGATACGTGAATTCATTATGAACAATTGTTATCAGTCTTAATCAGCATTTTAAATGTTGCTACTTTTAATCATTATTTTCTTTATTTAGTAATTTAGCCACAGTAAAGTAATTTAAATTATTGACATTTTTAGTTCAATTACTCTGTTGTTAAAGACAATACAGGTATACCTCGCCTTACGTCAGTAATTGGTTCCAGGAGATGCGACTTAAATTGAAAAATGGCGTAAGTCGAATTTACTTGTCTCCAAATTTACTTGTCAGTAGGATAAACCACAAATAACCTTTCCCAGTTCTGTATTTTATTTATAAATGCATTTTTAATAATATGTGGTTAATAAGAATATATTTTAAGCTTACAAACAAATAAATTTTAGTTTTTAATATAATACAGAAACAAGTAATCTAAATTTACGAATTCATGTACTGTATGTACAGTATATACATGTAAATGTACGTGTTTACAATTTGGTGATGTTTACAGTACATCACGGACTTTATTTGTGAATGAGGTTTGCTCTAAGACATTATAAAATAAGATGATTTTTTAAGGTTAAATAACAAATATAGTTCTTAAAATTTTCTTGCGACAGTAGAAAATAAACTAATTTATATTAAATTTACCAATATCGAGTGGCGCTTATATCTTTGAAGCATAGGGGATGAAGATCCAGGAATACTCATAGGTATTGCTTGGGGTGAAAAGAAGATAGAAAAGAGTTTAAGAGAAGAGGTGAAGGTGGAAAAAAAAATAATAATAAAGTGAGATAGGAAAGGGGATGAAAGGAGAGGTCCATGGCGTCTGCACCGGCATTTATTTACAGAATAAATGACTACAGAAAGATAAAACATATGTACAATGAGTCTTCCTGAAGCTTACAGGAAGTTGCAAAAGCAATACATAATTTTACCAGTTTGAAAAATGCAGACAAGTAGATGAAAATTGTAATTACATAAAAATTCTGACAATCAAAAATAAAATATCATCAAAATTAACTTCTGAAAAACATAAAAAGTTTACAATTATGTACATGTTGGCACATTGCAGAGGTTACGTTGCAGGATGACCATAATTTTTGGCATTTAAAGTTTGCATAGACATTAAACACTAAACACTTGAAACATATATGTATACAAAGATAAAAGAAAACTCTTAGAAACTTTTACATATATAAGAGTATGATTTGGCTTGCCTGGAGAATTATGTCCTGTTAAAATTCATGTTGAGAGCTTTTATGTCTATGACGAATTTCATCAGCTCTTCAAAAATCCCTCGATTAGAAATCAGTTTGGAGAGGGGGCAAGACCAGTTAAGCCCATGATGTAAAACACTGTACATTAGTCTTTCATGTTTTTGTTTAAACTTCTCGTAATTGAAAATAAAATGTTCCACATTTTGAATTGAAGAGTTATCACAATCACATGTGTCCACTTCACTGAAACTAAATCTGTGTAAATATTGTCTAAAATTACTGTAACCGGTTAAAATTTGGCTGGAAAAGTAGTTGATGCACAAGTGTTTCATGGCAAAATGTTCCTGAATATCAGGAAGAAAGCTAAATGTCAGCCTTCCTATGTTACCGCTGATCCACTCCATCTGCCACAGTTGTTTTGCAGTCTGTTTCACAAGATTTTTTATATTCATTTTTGTTATACTTGTGTAAATTTTATTTTCTGAAGAGTTGGCATAGAGCTTTGCAATCCTATCTGCTTCTTTGTTCCCTTGAACGCCACTATGTCCTCTGACCCAGGCAAAGGAAATGTTTACATTTGTAAGATTATGAATTAATTCGTGAATTAATTTGGTTGTCTGACACTTGGTGTAATTGTGGTTGATTCTGTTCAAGTCAGTCTGACTATCTGTACATATACATATGTTGCCTTTAATCGTATTTGACTTCTGAATATAGGTGAGTGCACGGTAAATTGCGTATAGCTCTGCTTCTGGTATCGTGCAATAGTTGTGGCAAGTTTGAAACCCAAATGATGTTTAAAGTTTGAATTTCCATGAATTGAGTGAACTACAGATGCTCCTACATTGTCCTCAATCTTCGAACCATCCATGAACACAAAATGTTTGGGATATGGGTCTGCACTGATATTGGTAATAGTAATCCTGTTGTTTTTTGCTGGGTGGACAGTATGAGGAGTTTCACTGAATTTACCTGAATCCTTGGGTGATTACAAATAAACAGATTCCACTGTACTTTGAAAAATTTCATTGTTTTAATTTTAAAATAACTGATTTTATTGTATAATTTATTTATATTTTACAATTTTATGCTCAATACATAACAATATTTACAACCAACCTGATAATTCAAATATTAAACAAAGCAAAGATCAGATGATGGTCCAGATAGCATAACTGGCAGTGCATCTGCATAGTGAACAGGAGTTGTGGGTTTGAGTCTCACTCAAAACCAATCATTTTTTCCAGAATATTCAAAATTAAATATATTTATTTCTAGTTATCAAATTTAACATGAGATGCCAGCTTAATCACCTACTTCTAGCCAAATTGCTTAATAACTTATTAAAGTAGCACAATAAAGAATCCAGCTATTTGTTTTGATATTCAGTACATAGTGATATATTAGTTTGCTGTATTAATTTTTTTCATCAGTGTAGAGATGCATTGTGAATTCCTGTATTTTACATTGTGGAATAATGGAGTTCAGAAAGTTCTTATAAAAATTTTTATTTCTCTGCATTAATTGTTAGCATATTCCAGGGGTGGGCAAGCAAGTCAGTGGGAGCCGAAATGTAGGTTTTGCAAAATGCATGGGAACCGCAGTTCTGTACTTTTTTATTCTGTACTGCAGTTCTGTACTGCGATTTTATATAATATTTATATAAAATCGATTTTATGTTTTATATAATATTTATATTATATAAAACAAATATTGAATTTTTTTAATAAACATATTTTCACAAAATTGTGGAAATAAAATTGTAAAAATAATAATAAAAAGCAGAAATTAACACTTTCAGCAAGAGCCGCATTTAACTCAAAAAGAGCTGCATTTGCCCATGGTGACATATTCACTGACAAGACTATAAATGTTATATCCACACACACTATTATTATGATGAAATAAACAAGTTAAAGCTCCCTTTATAATAATATACTTTCATTATAGAGGCTTCTCAAATCCATTGTACTTCAGAATCTGGAAAGCTGTAAATTGAATACATATCATTTCTACGTTATAATTCTATCATAGTTCTTTATATTAATATATTAAAATATATTTAAAATTATGTTTTAATGAAATAATAGTGATATTGTTAATAGTAATAAATTTTTCAAATAAAATATGAATTATGTTACAATGGAAATAATGAAATACAAATGATATAACTAACTACACTACAAAACACCAGGATGTGTTAAATAATGTACCCTTAGAACCTATAACCGGTGTGACATAAAAAAAACAAAAGATAAAGTTCACCATAAACATTTTCAAACTGCTGTGACATTTTGTGGTGAACTTTATCTTTTGTTTTTTTTTATGTCACACCGGTTATAGGTTCTAAGAGTACATTATTTAAATATAACTGACTAACATATGGTACTATTTCTGTTCATTACTTATTTTTATAATGTAAAAGATAATAGCTAAATGAAATTGTTGTAATATGATGGCGTAATATAACAAGAGAGAGATTTTTTTTAATCACAAAAGCATAATAATACAGATTAAAATAATTATTCAAAAAAATTACAGAATATTGTAATATCAGCTTAAAACTACAATAGATTTGTTTTACTTTATGTAAGGTTAATGATTGGATAATAATGGAAAAAGAAGAGAAAATTTTGTTAATGCAAGTGGTTTGTTAAATTTTATGTAGTTTTTCATAACAAATTTTACACTTCTATGTAAGTGAGGAAGGTTTTGTGTTGATCATCTTTCATAACAAAATTATGTTAATGAAGTATAGAGTGTTTATTAACTCTAAAGCAATAGGCTAGTGTATCTGATATGAAAAAATACATTTATAATTTCTTACATATGTGACGGTCCAAAACCCTTTTGTTTTAGAACAGTATCACCTTTCTAATAAACCTTGTGATTAGGTAAAAAGGGGACCTTCTACGGTCCATGACCGAGACGATCTCCTCGAAAAAAATCGTTAGTATATCAACAAAAGAAATCTCCTCCATTTGTTTAAAGATAATCCTATAGACGTTAATATCAACAAGACGGGAATAAGAGATGTTTTTTTACCCCCTCTTTGGTTGCACATGACACGTGGTTACAGCAATAAATCGTCTCGTTCGTAGTCAAATGCGACATTTGATATAAACAATAACTAGATAGTTGACCAGGTTAAAGAAATTATTGTCAGCTGAATGTTAATTTATGGATGAGAGCCGTCAAACCTATAGAAATTACTGTTTACTGGAAAAGTAGCCCGATGTAATCCGGTGATTGTTTGGCTTTACAGATTTATCAGATTTTGTGATGTTTGTTTATGTTATATATTGTCTTTTTTTTTATCTGATAGGACTATTATATAATTAACGTTTACTCTTTATTCTTTGTATTTATAAACACACATATCTTATAATATAATCGAGATGGGTTGATAATGATAATAATAAGTGCAGAGCCCAAACGGTTAGGAGTTTAAAGTTGAAATTTGGTTCACAGTTAGGGTACATCTTGAGAACATACATTAAGAAGGGATTTTTCGAAATTTCCACCGTGGGGGATAAGGATTACCCTTAAGAACTCTGCTTCTACTGTACTATTTTAAATGTCTTTTTTGCATTTATGCAGGAAATCAAAACATATTTTTAGATTCTTCTAAAATTCTCACGATATTTAGTGTTCCATTGTATATAAAGTTGACATGGGAAGCATATGCGCATAAGTTTGATTTATTCAAACTCCTTGTCTTAATGTTCAATTTTATGTTCGAATTTATATTTATGAATGATTTAGGAAGATCCAGCTTATTTTTCGAATTTAGTAAATCTGAAGAACCCAGAAGGAGTTATGAAAATGTTTGTTATTCATCCAGTGGTGATATTCAGCGGGTTCGCACAGGTTTGGCCGAACCCGTTGTTAACATTTTCAAAGTTTTCCAAACCTTGTTAAACACATGTAACATTTCTCAGTGGTTTTGTTTCTTTTAAAAAATATATTAAAATACAGTCGACCCCCCATAACACGGTAGATACGTTCTGGTTTTTATGAATCCATTTTCTACGAGTCCAGCCAATCACAGCCTGGCATGTATGCAGTTTACGGACTACAGCTGAAAGGTTTCTTCCGTAAAATTAATCAATTCTAGACTAATTTGACTCAACATTTCCAAAATATGTATAATTTTTTGGGAATAATCCATATAAACTATGCTATAAACAAAAAATCATAGGATTACTTACTGAGCGTGCACTGTTTGACTACGCCATTGCTTAAGCTTGTTTTTGTCATGGAGCTTGTCATCGAATGGCACTCGCGTGCTTCCTGATAAATTATTTTTTTTGTGAAAAATTTGCTGAACTTTGGAGATCATCATTAATATAAATATAATTTTTATGGACATTAAACAATAAATGGTTTTTAGTAGGTCTGCTGCTCGTTTAAACTCAACGGTTTGTACAATATCTGCTATTGGTCTAGATTCGACCAATCCTGTCGCATCACGAGTTGGTGATGATGTTTTGCCAAATTATATGAGTTTTTTTAGCATGTTTGTATGAATACTGTCACACTTTTTTTGCCGTGATATAGGAATCCTAACTATAGGAACCCGTGTTATAGGGGGGTTGACTGTATACACTACTAAACTAGAGCCTTATACCCCATTTGTTTTGGTGCAACCTCCCTCGACTGAAATGAGGTTCAATCACGATCGAAGAGTTCTTGAAACTAGAAACTAGATCTACTGACAAAGATCCCACAATCCCATCCACACGAGAAAATACAAGATGGCTGCATAACACGTGTCGGGCTATCGACAGCGAATTAAAAAAGATACTGTATTTCGAGAGATGATGTCTATTATTAGATATATCGCAAGAAAAAGTATTGTATTTATTTCTAACCAAAACTTCCATTTGGTTTGTCGGTGTTTGTGACTTACCGCGTAGTTACGTCAGTTTTATCATTGTGTGTAATATATATCTTTTTTATTTATATGGTTATTTTAAGGTCAGTTTTTGCACTAATGTTGCTAATGCACCATTTGAGTGAAAAAAAATTGTTAAGGAAAAATTTTCTGTTAGTGAACCCTTTGTTAAATATTTTGAATATCACCACTGTATTCATCACTTAGTGGTATTACGCACTAGTTAGTGGTTGCTGTGAATCTTAATTATTATTATCCCAGTGTGGTAAGCAGATATCTAACATTTTCTACTTAGTCTCAGAAGAGGGGATCTAATTCTTGCATTCAATGAAAATGGGTAAGATTGGCTATAATCTAATAATCTTAATTTTTGCTATCGTTACTTTTTGTCCGAGCAATGCTGGGCTCATCTGCTAGTTTCTTATAAAGCATTATTGTATCAGTTATATAATTTTGGATATCTAATGTTATAGAAACAAGTAAAACAAAAACTTCAAGTTAGGTAATTACTAATCAAGTAGTAATATAGGTCAGTCAATCATTCTAGTTGAGGTTGTTTGTAGTTTTCAAGTCAAAAAAGTTTCAACAAAAATGATAAATGTTGAATAGGAATATTTCAATATTTGGATACAGTTTCTGTAATTACTCAGGATATATTTCTTCATAATTGAAGTTTAGACTATTTACAAAAAATATCAGGATTAAGAGACTCAAAAATTTTTTTTATACAACCCCAGAAGTAATAGTTAACATGGTTTTTTGAAGAATATACTTCTTAAAACAAAGGTAAACAATAAGTACAAAAAGGTTCACAATGTTAAAACCGATCAAGTGTCAGCCTTCTGTTATAGGTTCTGACACTTTTACATTAAAAACACAAAGAATTCTTCTCACCACATTGTCCTTATCCATTTTTTAACTGCTTCAGGCCCTTCGGTGGTAGTTACGAGTTATCTTACTTCATTTGCATATGGATACAATTTCTGTAATTACTCAGGATATATTTCTTCATAATTGAAGTTTAGACTATTTACAAAAATTTGATATTTTTTGTAAATAGTCTAAACTTCAATTCAATTATTTCAATATTTGTTAACTTTTGTTACATATTTTAATTCATTAACTAAATAATAGCACTTTGTAAAAACAAATGCTATAATTAATTTAAAAGTTGGCATAGATAATATATCTTATTTTGGTAATTGCAATTTTGTGAATCTGAAATACTTGTTTTCTTTTGCATTTATATACTTAACAAGGAATTACTCGTACTTATTATGACATTAAAAATTGCAGTCCAGCATTGTGACAATGATTTTTTTACTTTTGTTTGGTTCAATGTCATGACTTGGTGAATTTATTGGCACTTAGCAAATAATTTCATCATCAACTTTTAATCCATGTATATATGTGTTTTGGGCTTCTGCCCCTCTTCAGTCTGTTACATAGATAGTGCGGAAGGTGCCTGACAGATGTACACAAGATACAACCCATGTCTTCCCTCTCTCCTTCCCTTTCGACTTGACAGCCTCCCCCGCATGCCTCGCAACATGCAACATCTCACTCCCAGAGTGCCGCATACAGCCTCACCTGTGACTATAAACATTCTATTTTAACAGTTGTAACCAGTTTTTATGAATTTCTATGCTTAGATTCTTGTTATTATTATTTTTGTCTGTAATAATTTCATAGCCTTCCTTAAATTTTCTTTTGTACCAATTTTTTTCCCTGTGTACTATTATTATGTCATTCTTATCTATTTTGCAGTTGTGGAATGATTTTTTTTATTGTTAAATTAAAATATTATCTATGTATGAACTTCCAGTCCATATTGGAAGATCATATACAGTTAATAGGGACCTTCATCTCAGTCTTGATTTTCATCTATCTAACTTTGATCTCAAGATTAATGGAGGACAGATGTATGACAGTAGGAAAGTACAGAACTGCAATTTGAAAAATGCAGTCCAATTACATGAAATACATAAACAAAATTATTTAAAGGATACTGAATAAAAATATTATATACTACTTTAAGTAGTAAAGTTATAATAATTGAATGACAAATGGAATAACAAGGATCTATAGAATAGTATAACATAATAGTATTTTTAATAGTAAATTCTGAATTGTAGTTCTTTTCTTAATTTTTATTTTATCTTGATTAAATATAATTTGTTTTTTTAGAGTATGTAGATTGAAGAAGAAAGCTCAACATGAAGCCAATAAATTAAAACTGTATGGTTTACAGAAAGAACATTGTAAGTTTATGCATTTCTATTCAGTTAAAATGAATAAAATTTGTATAATAAAATATAATCATAACTTATCCATTGGTTTGTTAGATAATTTATTGGTCTTAATAGAAGAAATAAAACCATTATTGAAAGAAACATTAGAAGGAAGTAAACAGTCATCGCTAACTCAAAAAGTTGAAAAAGTACTAAGTTTACATGGTAAGAATTATTTTTAAATAAAATTAGGTAGAGAATTTTTTTTTTAATTATCAGATGACAAATTACTATTATAGAAATGGCAATCTGGATCAGATTTGCCTATAACGGATATAATAGAAGCCATCTAAATACCCTAAAATGTGCCAATATTAATTAATCAATAAGTCACTCAAATCTCTTTCTGCTGTTATGAAGAAAGAAATTGAAATTTGCTATATTTACAATTTTTATAGTAATAACATATTTCTGTCCAGAAAAAGCAATGTGCACTGATAGAAGGAAATTATGTGACAAGTAAAATATAAAATTTTTTCATTGTATTGTTAAATCAGTCATTAATTTCTTTGATTCTGATCTTACTATTTGAAACATTGCAAATTAATAATAATAATAATAATAATAATGAATTTAAAATAACTGTGTTCAGTTTCTATCAATCAAGATCTTCCTATTTATTTTCCAGTCATGTGATCATTGGGAATTAACTGTTTAATGTAATAAATATTCCTCTTTCTAGACTAAATGCTTTCCTTTGACATTTTCCTTCCATTAAAACAATCAATGATGTTTTCATAAAATTTTTGTTTGATATAATACTAGATGTATACATTGTCAGATGATGATAAAATCTTTTTTATAATGAAAGTGTGACCGTCGGGTCGGTGTCTCTTCGACACCACATCAGGATGTGACACCACCGAGTCTTGCAGGACTCGGAAATTGCGCCTTTACGTCACACGAGCAGTCGCAGCTAGGCAGTTGGATTCAGAGTAGAGGTGAGGAGAGAGAAATGAAGAAGTGATTCACTCGGATTCCATATTAATAAACAATAACAAATTTATTTTAGCGGGCAGGAGTACACGATATATGCTCTTGGATTTATGAATATCCCTATTTTCTTAAATTTAACTGTCGTGAGAGAGAGAGAGTTTACAAACGACTTGCGTGTGGATAAATACCTTATAAAGAAGTTGAGGATGGATGACTCAAACATGGGATTCTTTGGGTGTTCGAAGGGTCTTTTTATTCGAATTGTTCGGGTAACAGCTCTTCGGAGGGAGATATCCGACAGGTGTAGAATAAATCAAGAACTTGGGCGTGATAGTTATCCGTATGTCGATATCGACGGAGGCACAGTATTTTAGCACACTTTGGAGGTGACTTTTGTGGACAGACTTTGGAGGACGACTGGCTCGATTTGTCATTGCTCTCCTTTGTTATTTTTGGTTCCTTCTGGGTTTTTCCATGAGGTCAGGAGTCTGTTGTTAAGGGCCTGGCGTCCAATACTGGATATTTATCGAAAGTTCCGGGTGACACACTAATGACTAGATGGATCATCCTCAACAAGGAACTAAATCCGTGGGAAATAATTTTTATGGATTTTAGCTTAACTTTTGATAAAATGATTGAAGTTAAACGATTGAATTCCAAAATAATTAAAATTTAAAATAACACTTTATTGATGGTCTGTTTGTCACTCACATCAGTACTTTCAACAAGACAAATGTATACATCTGGTATTATATCTAATTTGCCATGGACTTATATTAGACAAATAGTATTTCAATTTTATTTAATTCCATGCAAATTTCTATTACATTATGTAGTTATGTTTATAATTATCATGCATTTGTAAAATCAAAAACACTTTTCCAACAAATGTTTTCAGTTTATTTTATAAACCTGCTTCAGTTTCAAATCACACACTGATCACTTCAAATCTAAATGAAGCAAAAATAAACAATTGTCATCATAGACTCATTTTATTAAGAATGCTTGAAACATTAGAGACATTTAAGGCCACATTAACCATAGACTCAGAATTCCTATCTAATATGTGGTAGTCATTCTTTGATAAGCCCACAGATTGATTGATTGATTTGATTAATCATATATGAAAAGGCATAGACATACAGGATTCTAATTGTGCACTTTATTTGTATTTTTATTTTATCATTAATTAGATAATATATAAAATACATTTTCAAATATATCTTTCTGTATACAGGGTTTGTCCAATAAATATAAGGACTGANTGATTGGGTGTTTGTTATCTGAACATAAAAATCTTTTGCAAAAGTGTTTATTGTCTGATTTGTTTGCAGTCTGAACTGTTTGTTAACCAATCACCCACTGTGTTTATATTTTATTTTATGTGCTTGAAGTTGTTGTTTGTTAAGGTATGGTAATGCAACACTTGGGTGATCTGCCTAGAAGGGATGCCTTCCGGGAGGTCTTTTTAAGGGAAACTAGCCCCTATTTAGGCATTACAGACATGGAGAAAACCTGGAATACTCCACATAGCCAGCCTGTCTGAGCGAGGCGCAAACCCATGACTGAACTCCCAGTGTTCAGGTACGAAGACTGCTTGGCCACTAGTTTTGTGCGCTTGATGTTTCATTAGTATATAAAATACATTTTCAAATATATCTTTCTGTATACAGGGTTTGTCCAATAAATATAAGGACTGATTTTTTTCCTGCCAATGGGAAGGAGTGAAGAATGGGAATGGGATCTGCCCTCCACCCCTGCCCATTGGCATGTCATGTAAGCTATGAGACCCAGCTCAGTTATCTCTGAGCCTTTGAAGTGTATAGATCACGCCCAAAGTGAAAGTATGTTTAATGCTCATGTTGAGAGTCAAGGTGCAGCAAACCATCAAATTTTGCATTAAATTGAGCAATTCTGCTATGGAAACTTTTGATATGATCCATGAGGCTTACAAGGACAAAGCCATGTCTAGAACACGTGTTTTTGAATGGCATAAAAAATTCAAAGATGGCTGGGAAGACATTGGAGACAAACAATGCACTGGACATCCAACAATGACCCAAACCAATGAAAATGTGGCCCAAAGTACAAGAACTTTTGAACTCTGATTGCCAGTTAAATGTTCATTTAATAGCACAGGAATTTAGCAAAATCCATTGTGACTGATGATTTGCAAATGCAGAAGATGTGAGCGAAATTTGTGCTGAATGTTTGTCGAGCAAAAGGAATTGTTCCTTCTGCTCGTCTGACAAAACAGTTCAACAGACTATCATGACAAATCGTCTGTGTGATGATTTGTCATGAACTGTTGGAATGTTTGGAGACCAATTCAAATCTTTTGGACAGGTGACAAGACATCGTTTTGGGACAATTGAGGCATTCCAACAGGTACCTGAACAGTTTTGTGGTTGCTAAAGGCTGCTATACACCATGGGTTAATCCTCGAAGGAGTAACCATGCATGCCTGATTTTTAATCATTCCTGGAAATGTGTGGGGGAAAATTTAACAGTTTCGGCAAACTCTACCGACCACCTGAGTAGAAACGCCCGTATTCATTAGGTTAATCCTTAAAGGAGTAATCATGCATGCCTGACCTTTATAGTTCTTGATAGTTTATGGGGTACAATTTAACAGCTTCGCCGACCACCTCAGTAGAATCGAAAAACCATTTGATTTTCCTGCGGTGTGTCAGACTGAGTAGACCCACCAAAACGTGTGTGCCGTCGTATATCGTTCAGTAGTTAGAACAATGTCACGTGAAAATTTGGAGGAATTTTTAAAAATTTACGAGAGCGAANAGATCAAACTAGAGAAAAGGATCGAAACGCATTTTTAAAATTCCACAAAATTTTAAATAAATTGCATCCTTGCAATTACGCATGCCGTACTATAGATTTAAAATTCAACTAGTGTGTAAAAATCTGTGATATTTTCTGAACTCTGAGAATTTTTCATAAGACTTGTCTGCATATTAAATTTGCATTCATTCCCATGCATTATATTTAAAATTCTGAACATAGCATAAATAGAATTTGCAAATTTACAACAAAAAAATAAAATGCACTCATTTCATTAAGCTGTTTTTTCCAATGAGAAAAAAACTTACCCTGTCCAGTTTAAAATATTAAATATTTTTCCAACCAACGATTCAATTATCGTTTTACACAAATGTATAATATATAATAATAATTGTGTGCTTTGTAATAAAATTTTGCAATATGTCAAATTATGAGAAATCTCTTGTATGAGAAGATCTAAAAAAATTATTTTTGTACTTGTAAATTATATTCTTGCCTCGTTATTGTTGTTAAATATTTTAGTACAAATAATCTGTAAATAAATTTATATTAAATATTCAAAAATAATATTTTGACATAAAATGTTCAAAAATATGTTTATATTATATATATATATATA